ATAAGGTTAACATGCTGGTTTTCCTTGCGCGTAACAAGGACTTGACCGAGTTATAAATCACAGTTATTCTTGTGTGTGAAAGTGAAATGACCGTGCCTGGGACATCTCATTTTGTATACTTTATTTTAAACTACAAAACAAAACGGGCACTTTTTTATTTCTGTTAGATGTTGCAGCCAAATTTGCATTTCAAAGTTAAACCTCCTGAATGTTGTTTTTAAGTTCAGTCAGAGAATGCCGTTACTGCCCTTTGATCTGCATTCAATAAAGTGTTAAAAATGGCCATGTATTTTTTCTAACATTTTTTAAATGTGTAAGCACAATGTTTCAAAGGAAATATTGCCATGAGTTTAGTAATTAACAAACAAATTTGCTAAGTACATTACAGTTTTTCTCGATTGGTTTGGCTCTATTCCTGAAACCGAGATGACATTCTCAAAACCATAAGGTCATTTGGCCAAACAGTCTGACAGTGCTGCCCAACATTATAGCTCACTAGCAAAATCAAATATCTTTCCCCAAACTCTTCGTCCATGCTTCAAAAGCAGATTCCTTTCCCATATAAAAGGTCAGTACAGTCAAAATAGCACAGATCCTTCTCAATTGCCTTGGCACATGTGCATTCATTTAGTGCTTTTGTCAAAATAACCTGGATGGTTTAGCACAACACCATGGATCCCCTGCAAAAGCTCATTTCTCTCCCAAAAGAGTTTATCCATGTGTCAAAACTAAATATCCTTCCCATATAAATAGTTAATGCCCCCAAAATGCATTATACCTTTGGCATTGTTTAAGCACTGCAAGTCAAAATGCTCAGACGTTGTGTCACTGAGGCACAGGTCTAGCAACAGAATACCACTATGAATAAAACCAATAGATTTCACAGTAAAATCGGCCTCCAATTAACCACTCGTACTCAAGGAAACTGTAAACATTTTCATTTGTACAAAGAAATGTTAACATTAGAGAACATACTGTGAAAAGAAAACATATACAGGATTCTGTAAATGTGAACAGTTATAAACACAAACAAAAAACAAAACAAAAAACAAAAACAACTCTAGCCTACCATACTGTAAATAAGGTTTCAGAACTATAGTACAGTACTATTTTCAGTGGTCGCCATTGTCACCCTCTCTTTCTTGGCCACCATCCTCATCCTCCTGGCCATCGACGCGCTGCTCTCTGTCAGGCCATAAATTCTCATCCACATCACGACAGATATTTTCTCGTGCGATGCAGCGAGGGAAGAAACGGCGTGAATGTCTCAACCATCCCCTAACTGAGATCCCCTGTGATGTCCTCACATGCAGCATCCATTGCATGCAGCAGGGCCCTCTGGTCTTGAGCCTGATGCTCATACACCCTCCACCTCCAAGCTGAAAAAAACTCCTCAATTGGATTTAGGAAAGGAGAGTAAGGTGGAAGAAACTCCTTTAGCATCCGGGGATGGGTGGTGAACCAGGTTCTGATGCGTGGGCCGCGGTGAAAGTTCACATTATCCCACACAATGACATAATGTGGTCGCTGAGGTCCTTCTACACCTCTCTCATTTTCTTGGATCAGATCAGTATAAAGGTGGTCCAAAAAATTGAGGAGCTTTTATGTATTGTAGGGCCCTAAACTGGGAATGTGTGTGGCCACACCTCTTTCTGATATAGCGGCACACATTGTTATATTTGCCCCTCGCTGGCCTGGGACATCCACAGTGGCTCGGTGGCCAATGATGTTACGGCCACGCCTTCGACCTTTGGCCAGGTTGAAGCCAGCTTCATCAACGAACACTAGGGTGTGAGGGCTGTCGTTGCCTTCTAATGCCATTATTCTCTACAATAGAATAGAAATAAATCTAATCAGTCAAGTAGAGACAGATACTGCAGGGAGGATCTAAATTACTGTACAAACAGGGAGTGGGAAACTGATGACAATTTCTAGGCAAAATGCTCTAGTCACACAAAGCTGCATTCTGAAGGTGAAAAGGATACCGCAAAACAAGAAAACAGTGGTAACCATGTCTTACTGTAATAGTGTTACAATGATAGACAACCAGTAGTTGACTTACATGCACATACTGGTACTGCAGCCCTTTCACTCTGTCAGAGTTTCTCTCAAATGGTACCCTGTAAATCTGTTTCATGGTCATCTGATGTTTCTTCAATACCTGGTCTATTGTGGAGATGCTGATAGAGTTCATATTTTGGAACATTACATTGTCTAGCAGGATTGCATTACAAATCTGTCTCAGTGTGATGGCATTATTTGCAATGACCATGTTGCATATTTCCCATTCTTGTTGTTCATTTAGAAGTTTTCTTCTGCCACCCACTTGAGGCTGTCGTCCAATCCTAGACATACAAGTCAAAGGTCAACACTGTAAATTTGTTACAAAATGAGCTACCACTGTAATTGTACTGCTGTCCTATGGTACTAGAAGTGTGATGCACTGCACAGTGACTGGAATACTATTCACAGTATTTTCTCCATTTTTCTGTCTTTGTCATTTTTATAGTATCATATAACATCACATGACGATATTACAGTACACTAGGCCTACACACACACCAACACTGAATAGTTCAATAGCATAGTTCTGTACCTGTTTTCTCTGTGAAAGGTTTGGATGATGGAGGAGACTGTAGACCGAGCCACATTAGGCTGCACTCGGCGACCTGCCTCTGCCATTGTGAGGCTATGGTTTATAACGTGGTCAGTAAGGGTGGCCCGGATTTCATCTGGGACATCATGGTGCCTCCGTGCTCCTCAGCCTCTTCCCCCTATTCCTCCACGCATTCTCACTCCTCCTCTTCCTCTTCCTCCTCTTTCTCGAGCAGGAAGTTGCTGTTGTACTTGGCCAGGTGCTTCCATGTTCACACTGCAAATGAAACTGGCCCCGGGCCAAGCTCTGTCTATATACTTTTGGCAGCAGTCATGATCATAGACAACACCTGTCAGGTATCTGAACAACCTGTTTGATTGGTCATCTGAGATGTGGGAGGCTGCTCTTTCATTAGTTCTAACTTCACCTGATTGATTGTCAAGTACTGTCATAACTTTATCAAATGTTCCAAGATATTCTTTCATGGTATTATATTTTTGATTAATTTTGACAGTTGAACAGACAATTGTGCATATGATGACTTACACAATGAAACCATGCTGATATGTTGTGGAGTGAGTGACCATTTCACTGACAAATCAACTAATTAGTTTAGATCGGCAAGATCTATTTATTTGGGAAATGTGCTAAATGTGGGCTCATTGTGCTAACTGTAGCTACTTGTACATAATCATTTGAAAAGAAGCACAGAGTCACTTGAGACATGTACTAAAGCATTTGCAATTTGATTAAACCAATGAAAACTGACATTCTGTTGTGAACAATTGCAAGGTGGTTTGGAGATTTGTCCATGTTATTTTTTGAATGTCATCTCGGTTTCAGGAAATGAGCCAAACCAATCGAGAAAAACTGTAATAAAAACAGGGTGCAATAATATCGCATACCGCAAGAGCTGCCCTGACTCACCGCAGGGGGAATTCCTCAACCGCGACAGCCCTACCATCTACCTGAATCCTCTTGCATACGTCCCGGCCGCTCCGGTCATCACAGGATCGTCGGCTAGCAGTGCCTACACCACGCTCAGGACAATCCAGGCTCTTCACATGCATCGTTCCACAAATGTGGAATGACCTACCAAGCACTACCAGAACAGGGGCTTCCTTTTCAATTTTCAAGAAACTCCTGAAGACCCTGCTCTTCAGAGAGCATCTTCTAAACTAGCACCCTCCCTGCACCCGTCCCCCCTCTCTACTGTCCACTCCTTGTTCCCTCCTTTCCATGATGGATGTCAAGTTGTTGTTGTTAGCCTCAAGGGCAACATGCCGATTATCACTTGTAAGTTGCTTTGGACTAAAGTGTCTGCTGAAAACATAAACATAAACGATGTGTATCTAGTATGCTTCCAAAACGTGACCCATTGCAACTGGTGGAAACGCACTCATCCACTATGGCTGTGGCTAATTGCTGCATACTACGTTTTGCGACTGTTACTTGACACTCACTCGCCCGGTTATAGAGTTTTGATTATACTATTGGGTGTGTTATTGGGATTATATTAATGTAATTTTTAAATATATAACCATGGTAACCTCAGCACAGACAAAACCTTTCTAATCATCAGTGATACCCCACAAGGTGAACTCTTGGGTGGAGTCCTCTTCCGAGGGAGACTGTCAGTCTTCTTTAGCCTCTTCCATTTTCTAACAATTACTCCAACATTTGATCTTTTTTTCCCCAAGATGCTTGGCAATCCCCCCATAGCCCTTTCCAGCCTGGTGAAGGTCCACAGTGTTGTCTCTGGGGTCTTTTGAAGGCTCTCTGGTCACGTCTGTGGTAGTTGTTGGAGTCAGACTGACTGGGGTGAACAGGTGTCTTTAACAAGCAGAGTAACAGGTCTTTGACAGCCAGAATTCTTGCTGGTTGCCAGGCATTAAAATACTTATGTGCAGCAGTCCATCAGAGGGACAGCTCATGTTAGATGTTTTGGACATAGAGAAGCCAGGCTGAGATGTTTGGACATGTTCACAGGAGAGACAATGATGACATACGTAGAAGGATGCTGAGGTGGGAGCCACTAAGCAGGAGGCTGAGAGGAAGACCAACAAGGAGACTTATGGATGTGATGAAGATGGGCATGAAGGGTAGAGGATGCAGAAGACAGGACAAAATGGAAACAGATGATAGACTGTGAAGATGCCTGAATGGACAAGCCCAAAGAGACAAAAGAAGCTGATCTCAAATACCAAAACCAATGTCATTGTCTTTTTATTTTTAACTTGTTTTTCTTACTATTTCTTTGTTTGAATCTTTTTTTCGTTACATCGGAGAATTGAAGACACGAGGAAACCCAAAAAAAGTTCTGATCCAGATGAGCAATAGATACACAATAGTTTAATTTCCCCAGTTTTGTAGTTTTAATATTATTATGTATTTATTTTTCCAGAAATCCATTCTAACTTTAGTTGTCATGGCGACCACATCCATCACCACCGCCGGTGGAGTTGTGATCGTAACTCAAGTCATCCCCAAAGATGACTCCTCCATTCCGCTCCAGACTCCTGCAAACTCTGCATCAAAGGCTCCACCCACTGATGCAAAGACTCCGCCTCCTCCTTCTAAAGAAGTAACAAAGGCCTCCACCTTCCTGCGTGGGGAGCCCCATGGCCTCGGGGTGAGACTCTGGTCTTATGTGACTGGCTGACCGGACTGAACCATTTAACATGTTGTGTGATTTCAGGTTGTCCAGATCTTCATCGGTCTGCTGTGTGTTGTGTTTAGTCTGACCGCTATCCTCTCACCAACCATGATGGTCCACGCCCCGTTTGCCCTCGGAGCTATGGTGCGTACACACCTCAGATCTCCAGAACACACAGCTTACAGACAGAAGGAAAAGTGACCTTTTAAGTTGTGGGATGAAACCTTTTGTCTCTGCTCTTCTCAGTTTGTTGTTTCAGGCTCTCTGTCAGTGATGGCCAGAAATGGAACTTCCGTCAGACTGGTCAGTTTTTATTTATTATCCTCAGTTTTTATAAGGCGAATGCTGCTGCTTCTTCTTCTTTCTTTTTTCTCCTTCTTCTTGATGTGGACTTGTTTGAAGTGTGGATCAAGGGTGCAAAAGGGGGCATGATCAAACTACGCACTTGAGAATCGGGACACCCTACATACTGGATCACGCAATTGATCGCGCATGGGTGGAAGTGCGAGTATTGGGACCAGCATAGGCGTCATTTTAACCGGGGACGCCGGGGACATGTCCCCGGCAAAATTTGTGATTGGCAGCTGTGTCCCCCCCCACTTTCAAAAAAGCCTGCTGATGAGGATTTTTGTTTTACCAGCTCAGATCTTATACCAGGGGTCGGCAACCTGTTCCCATCAAAGAGCCATTATTACCCGTTTCCCATGGTAATTTTGGACGGACCTTAATAAGCAGTGACTTAAGTGAAGCAGGCAGGTCGCGCAAGAAAATTTAGTTTAAAAAGATGTCATAAATGTGTTCCTCCGTCATTTTAATTTATAAAATATGAAGTAAAAACTCACAATTTAATTTTCATTCATTTGTCATTAATATTTAGTCTACACCCGTGCGTTAAGTGGACCATCTTCCAGTAAACGCAAAGCATCCAGTCCACCTCTCCAAATGCGTAAAATGTGCATCAGCCGCTAGTTAGGCGTGCCGCGCGCACCATCAGCTGATCAGCCCAGACAAGAGCAGAGCAACTAGAGACAGAATAGAGGATAATTGTGTCTGGATGTGGATGGAGATTACATTTTACAGCAGCCTGATCATCATTTAAATACGTAAACCATCACCTGTCTTCTAGTCCACGCTATCAGCATTATTTTAATTGGTGTGTGTGTGTGTGTGTGTGTGTGTTTTCCACTTCAAACACTGGTCTAACCAACCAGACCAGCGTGTCCAGTAACATATTAATGTTACAATTAAACAGTTTCACTTCATGTAGGCTAGGAACGTTTCACCTGCCGTGGCCCGACCGCTTCTGCTCCACATGAACTTTGTGCGTGATCAAATGTCTCTACGCGTCATGCGTCTCCATATTAGAGACGGGAACAAGCGCTGTTCAGCCAAAGTTTCATAATTTCATAAAAAGAACATTTTTCCAAGTGACACATCCCTCAGAGAGACCGGGTTTCCAGACTGTTTCAGTGGGAGGAAATCTTATCGCATGCACAGTGGTTCTGCACTGCGCTGCGAACCCCAGATCTTCAGCTCACTGTCCACCGTGGGCGCTCCGAGCCGCGCTGAACACAGTGTCTAGTATAAAGCTCTGATGTTCTGATGGGAATCAAGTTACCTCCGCGATGTGCGTTAACGATTAAAATGTCAGCTCATCCATGCGCATCAGTGTGCGTCGGGGTAATTCTTTCAAACCAAGCAACATCCTTGAGTTCATCTGTCAAAATAAACAGTCAAATGGAAATATATGTAACCTGCCGTTTAACTGTTTTGCCTTCTTGTGAAGATTGTTGCAAAGAGAAACAATTAAACTTGATTAACCCCAGAGCCACCCAGAGAACCAGAGCGCATGCAGGAAGGTTCCTCCCACTGAAGCAAGTATTTTCCAAACCCTGTCTCTCAGAGAGACTTGTCACTTAGAAAATGTTCCCTGATTATGAAACTTTGGCTGAATAGTGCTTGTTCCTGTCTCCAGTGTGGCGACACATCCATGAGCCGTCTGAGGAGAATCCCAGAATCTCACATCCTCTTCAGCTCAGAAAGCGCCTATATGATTACGCACAAGCGTGACCCGTCAACCCGGTCTCACAGTAAGACCGGGTTGGACCTGTTCAGGTTTACGCAGACAATCTTTACATAGAATTGGCATACAGATGTAAAATTAATGCAGTAAAATATAAAGCATTTTATTTAAATATCCATTCATTATTCTACAAGCACAGAGAGCCGCATCAGATGGATGGAAGAGCCGTATGCGGCTCCAGAGCCGCGGATTGCCGACCCCTGTGCTAGCCTACTTTATTGTCCCCAGCAATTTTTAAACCCCACTCAAGTGTATGGTTATTGTCCCCAGCAATTCTGACAACAAACTGACGCCCTTGGGGACCAGGACCAGTCAAATGTCTTGACAAGACATTTGTCTTCTTTCTTTCTTTCTTTCTTTCTTTCTTTCTTTCTTTCTTTCTTTCTTTCTTTCTTTCTTTCTTTCTTTCTTTCCATTTTCTAACAATTTTTCTTTCTTTCTTTCTTTCTTTCTTCTTCCTCCTTCTCCCCCAATAAGTTGTGTGTAACAGTTAAAAGAAGTTTGTTGGACTAAACTAGTAAACCTTTAGTTCTGGTACCACTTATTACTGGACTTCTGAGACATCAGAAAAGGAATTATTAAAGGTTCAGTCAAACAACCAGGAAGTATGTGTGTTTCCTCAGGTGTGTGTGTCTCTGCTGTTCAACACATTCAGCGCCGTCCTTGGCCTGGTGGGTGTGGTCTACCTCTGTTTCCTGCTGGCTGACACTCCTCCCGCTGACAAGATTTGTAGCAGTGCTGATGACAGCAGCACCTTGTACCAATCAAAGTGTTCCAGCAATTTGTGGAGGTTGAATGTAAGTCAAATCTCTGATATTAATCTGAAACTATTATGTTAAACCTCCAACTCTAATCTTTGTCTGATGAATTCATCAGACTGTGGGAGGGGGGTAGACGACCTCCCCTATGGGGGAGTAGGGGTGGACAAGGGGACACAGCATCAGATGACTATCATCGATGAGGAGGAGCAGCAGCTCTCCTCTGAGCTCCTCCGGGAGGATGGAGCTCCTCTCTTAAGGCTGAAACTGGCTTCATTAGCAGCTACAGAACTTTTATTATTCCTCTCTTCTCTCTTTTTAATTTCATCTTTCAGATTATTCTGTACGGACTTCTGGGCCTCTTCCTGGTTCTGTTCATCCTTCAAGTTTGTGTCTCCATCACAATTTCGATTTTCTCTGGAAGATTGCTCCGGAGCTACAAACGTTATTCTCACCTCACGGTAAGAGCTGAATTTCTGGATCATTCCTCCTGGATGCTGAGGCGAAATGATGCTCCGATAATTTATGAGGAAAAAGCCAACAGCTGCATAAAGACCTGTGTTGGTGTGTTTGATTAAAATCAGCAGCAAGTGATGCTCAAGTTAATCAAAAATAGTTAATTTAATGACAAAAACATAAAATACACGAGGGGATAAAATATGCAAAACTCAACTTTGGCAATTTTTTGCCCTGCCATGTGGGTCTCTACTGCCAATCTCCAGATGTTAATTAAAAACTGTCTAATCTGTTTTTGTCTGTTTAGTTTCAGGAACAGGCCTAAAATAAGTTGTTTCAATAAGTTTCTGTTTGTGACATCACAAACAGGGAAATGTGCATAGAACCCCATCCCCATCTGTTGATGCTGGAGGAGCAGCAACTACTCCGAGCTCCTCTTGATATCCAAACTCCTTGCCTCATAGCCTCAGCCAATCGGCATGGGTGGACGTGGCCAGCAACAACTTGTTTATTAACGTAACAGTAAACAGTTTCCAGATCCTTTGTCCTACTGGTTTAACCTAGTCTGATCCCCAATAGAAATGAATGTGATAGGTTGGTGGACGAGGCCTATTTTCTGAAATAGTGCCCCCTAGAACCATTAAAACTGTCAGCCCCAAGCCATGCTTTAATTGAGAACTACGAAATTTGGTACACTAATGTAGTGCCTTGGGACCTACAAAAAAGTCTCTTGGAGCCAAGGTCAATGTCTTACAGGAAGTCGGCCATTTTGGCCCAAGTACTCTATTTAGTGGTTTTCGCACACGTCTTTTGGTAAGTGATGCCCCATCGCCCTTTTCACCAATCGCCTTCAAACTTCTGCTATAGACTCTTGTCATAGGGGGAAAAATTCAACCGTCGGATTTTTCAAAAGTTGAAAGGTATGGGCGTGACTAAGCCTCAAACTTTGACCTGTTGCCACGCCACTTTTTTTCACAGCTCCCTATTGGACTCCTTTCTCCCAATCACCAGCAATCTCTGGCAAATAGCAGTAGATAAGTTGAGGTCACTTGGTCTCCGGTGCTGGCAGGTTTTGAAAAAAGGCGGGCCTTTGGGAGCATGGCGAAATTCGCCATCACGCCATGAAAATACCTTTGCCTCTCATTTCCTCAGTTATCGTTATATTGCTACGAATTCTCTGGTTGATCCTAGTCTGACCACCAATAGAAATGGACGTGATAGGTTTGTGGGTGTGGCCTATTTTCAGAAATAGCGCCCCCTAGGACCATTAAAACTGTCTGCCCCAAGCCATGCTTTGACTGAGGATTACGAAATTTGGTACACTAATGTAGTGTCTCAGGACTTACAACAAAGTCTCGGAGCCAAGCGCAAAGTCGCACTGGAGGTCAGCCATTTTGGTCCAAATACTTGATTTAGTGGTTTTCGCACACGTAGTTTGGTGAGTGATGCCCCATCGCCCTTTTCACCAATCACCTTCAAACTTCTGCTATATACTCTTAAGACATAGGGGGAAAAAATTCAACCATAGAATTTTTCAAAAGTTGAAAGATGTGGGCATGGCTAAGCCTCAAACTTTGACCTTTCGCCATTAGATTACTTGACATAACTCCCTTGTGCATGATCAGATCCATATCAAACATTGTCCGTGTGATCACTGACCACATCTCAAGACAATGACAATGTGGACAGCTGACATCACCTAAGCCCCGCCCCCTGACAACAGGAAGTCGATTGTTTTATGGTGAATTGCCCATATTTGTCCCCTCTTAATTTAGTCAACATGACATTAAGGTCATGCACTGTCTTCATGATGCTGTAATGACCATTCAGTTCTGAGAGCTTTCCAGAAAGGGAGGGGCTTTGATGCCATGGCGAATTCTGGCGTGACGCCGTGACCTTATGTTTGATTGTAACTTCCGCAAACAGCCTCTGATCTGCACGAGATTGAACATGGCAATCAACAATCATGCCCTTTAGCCAATGAGGCGCAAACAGTTGGTGAACGTTGTATATCACCACAGCGCCCACACAATACCTTTAAAACTGTAATAACTCGTACAGACGAGGTCACAACTGCATCAAACTGGCTATGTGTCATCACACAAAGGCACTCAACACAATCCTGTGGTCATTGGTTGATATCGCTTTACCTCCGCCCCTGACAGATATTAGGCTCTGAATAACACATGCATGATGCAATTCACACCAAACTGCACACAGATGATTGTTGTCAACCTATAAACTGCTTCATGGAATATTTCCTAAATTTGGGACAGTGCCCCCTAGATACAATAAAGCCTTTGTAACTTCTGCAAAAAAGCTCCAAACTATATCAAACATGGTGGGAGTCATCACACAACTGCAATCAACACATGTATGTGCTCACTCATTCAAATCACTCTAATTCCACCCACTTACAGCCTTTTGGCTCTAGATGACCCATACAACGTTTGATTGATGCCAAATTAACAGAAACCCATCTTTGATGACCAAAGATGACCTCTATGGGATTTAGTTGTAAATGGTCACAGCGCACCCTAGATGGGTTCAAACTTTATCAACTTCTAAAGACAAGGTCAGAATGGCATTATACTTGGCTTGTGTCATCACGTGACTGCAGCAAACACATTGATGTGGTTGTTGGTTCAAAACCCTTTAGTTCCGCCCTCTTTCAGCTCTTTGGCTCTAGAAAGCACATGCAACATCTGATTGATGCCAAACTACCACAAAACCATCTTTGACTCCCTAAGAGGACCTCAATGAGATTTTTATGTAATTGGTCACAGCGCCCTCTAGATAAGATTAAGAGTTAGTTACTTCCTAATACAAGGTCAGAATGGCATTAAACTTGGCTTGTGTCATCATATGACTGCACCAAACACATTGATGTGGTTGTTGGTTCAAACCCCTTTAGCTCCATCCCCTTTCGGCTCTCTGGCTCTAGTTAACACACACAACGTCTGATTTATGCCAAAATAACAGAAAACCACCTTTGTCAACCAAAGCTGACCTCAATGGGATTTTTCTGTAGTTGGTCACAGCGACCCCTAGATAACTTTAACCTTCAATGACTTCAAAAAAACGTGGTCAGAATAGCATTAAACTTGGTCTGTGTCGTCACACCACCGGTGTGGTAAAGATAGAGTATCCCCTAGTGGTTAGATGTGTAATTTAATGGTGGGCTCAGAGAAGATGCTGAGTCAGGGTGAGGTGCAGACGAGGAGACTGTTCGTGGTTTCTGGTGTCGGGGTGGTCGATGTTAATGTTCAGCAGACGTACCCGGGTGCACCAGACTACCGGCCAGGCCGGAACGGCGCGGAGCTGCGAAGGCCGAACGACGCTGCTTGCAGCTTTAATTTTATTTATTCTTTATTTAACCAGGAAGGTCCCATTGAGATTAAAAACCTCATTTTCAAAGGAGTCCTGGCCAAGGCAGCAAAAGATAGAGCACAGCATGAGAGCAGTTTCTTAGTTATTTCATTCTTGGAATATTCTAATGATTTTTGGTGTGAATTCAGAAATCTGTGGTTTATTTTCCTTTTCATTACCTTATTGTCAATGTTTTATAGAACAATACAAGTGATGTAAAAGTGAAGTCATGATTAGAATAATTTAATAAGTTAAAATCTATAAGTCTTTACTTTCTAATGAACTGGTTATTTTGTAAAATCTCATGGGAAAATATAGTTGCTGCTGATAGTCAGCAAACCCGCGACCATGACAGGCAAAAACCCTGAATCATCTAAACCACTTATGTGAGTTCTGAGATGTTCCTGTGGGACAAAGCTGCGGCGTCTCTTTGAGTGTCACAGTTCACCCAGTTCAATGGCTGTGATGGAGCTGATTGGTTCAACAAAGAAAGTTCCACCTCTGAGTTGTGATTTAAAGGGAAATACAGTTTTATTTATGTTTAACATTTAGTTGTTACAGATAGAAAAACCATGACTCAGCATTTGAACCTGAACTGATTCTGCAGCCTACAATCTTGACCTGCAGGTGGATGACAGCAGCATTCCTGTTGAGTCGGACCTCCAATCCAACTCTCCCTGAGAGGGGATGGAGGGCTCCATCTCCATCCGTCTCTCCGTGGAATCCATCACTGATCTTTATGTATTTCCTGGTTCTAGTGTTGACGGTTCTAAACCGTGTAAATGTGATTTTTAGTGATTGAATCTTGCAATAATAGCTTACTGCCTGTGTGTATCTACCGGTACTTTTTTTTTCTTTGAATTATTCTCTTAAGTGTATCAATAAAGTCTATTCTTTTCTAAACCAGCTTGATCAAGTATAACAAATTCAAATCAGCAGTTTTCAGATTGTAAAGATAAAATTTCTATGAAATGTAACTTAAAACTGGTTTTATTTCAGAATTAAACGGGAGAAAATACTATAAAACCTGTGTTTATCTTTTTTAACCTGTTTTTAAGAGAAGGTTTGTGTGTTTTGTGATCGAACTCCATGTTGGGTTGTGTCTGGTGTCATTGTTCTTATTCTGCCTTGATCTGAGCCATCTTTGGGATCTCTGAATCTATTTGATTCATTCATTACACACAGACTGATATATTTCTAATGTTTTAATTTTGATGATTATAATTGACAACTAATGAAAATCTCACATTCAGAACATCCAAAAATTAGAAAATCAATTTAAGACCTATGCTAAAAAAAGAATTTTAGAAATGTTGGCCAACTGAAAAGTATGAGCATGTACAGTACTCAGTATTTATTTGGGGCTCTTTGGCCTGGATTTCTGCAGCAATGAGGCGTGGCGTTGATTTGTTCAGTCTGTGGCACTACCCAGGTGTTATGAGAGCCCATGTAGCTCTGATAACCCCTTCGACAGTAGGGCCGACCCCATTCCTCCCAGGTATGGTAAGAAGTGTTCACATCTGGGTAGCCTGGTATTTTTCTGCATGCAGCTAGTCGTTTCAGTCCTCTTTTCATGGCGGTCTGCTTCAGGCTGAACTGGTCCAACACACCTACTGCCAACTGGCTGGCTCATTAGGGAGAGCCTCCGATTGGCAGAATCAGCTAGCAGGGGCTTCCCACATGCATGATTCATTTTCATTCTGGATACTGAGGAGTAAAATCTGACCCAATCTTAATACTCGCACTGCACCCTGCGTATTCAGCAAAGTGCACTTGGAGAAAGTTCGCTGTATGGCTTCCGGTGCATGGTACACAAGTGTGCAAATAACTGCCAAATTGAGACAGGGAGCATTGCATCATCGACCGCAATGCATGCCGAGATGCTGGTCGCTCTGATACTTTTAAAAAAATCTTTAACAACGTTCAAACAACCAAACAATTACATTCATTGCAGCTGTGTCCAAAAATTTCAGAGCATCAACTAATCGTCCTAAGATGAACTACTTTCATTAGAAAATACATATTTTCAGAAAAGGCATTTGAGCCCTTTCTGCTGCAGCAATGGATTGTGGGTAGTACACTTCACCCAAGTCCGCATCGATGTGGACTTGGGTGAAGTGTGGATCAAGGGTGCAAAAGGGGCTTGATCAAATTACGCACTTGAGAATCGGGACACCCTACTCACTGGATCATGCAATTGATCGCGCATGGGTGGAAGTGCGAGTTTTGGGATCAGGCCTCTGACTGAAGACGTCTCTGTCTGATGAGCATGCGCAGACTTGAGCTGCCCCACTGGAGGACAGACACAGCAGTCTGTATGTAATAGTCAGAGTATCCAAATCCAACACTGCTCACAGCCGCCTTAGTTTCATTTTATGAAAGTGAACACGGGCAGTAAGTTTCACTTTGTAAACAGAACCAGCTGAGATGATAAACAGGAGGGATGCAAAGCTCCAAGAGCTTCTCTCCATTAGAGCTGGAGCTCAGATAACCAGAGAGGGACTGTGGGGGACAGACAGCTTTAGGAGCAGCTTGTCAAAACACTTAATGAGCACAGCTTTGATCACAATAAAAAGTAAGTTATGTCCAAGCTGAACAAAAGTCTGAGGGAGACACCACGGACTTCTCTGTGTCTCATTTGCCCTGCCCACATGCTCAGAGATTTCCACATTCCTGGGGAGTGTGTGAACAAACTACCCGTGCGTGATCTGGACCAAAGCCATCCAGCCCAGACTGGGCCAGCTCTTCCTGGGGAATCCCAAAGTGTTCCCTGCCAGCCGAGGAACATAGTCCCTCCTTTCTTTTGGACTCCCCGTAAGACTTGCTCGGAATACCTCACTAGGGAGGATCCAGGAAGCCTCCTAATCGTCTGGCTCCTCTTGATTTGGAGGAGCTGCAGATAGGAGCAGCAGCTATTCTCCGAGCTCCTCTCGGATGGCCGAGCTTCTCACCCTATTTCTAAGGGAGAGCCCAGCCATCCTGCAGAGAAAAATCATTTAGCTTGTATCTGCAATCTCATTATTGCTGTCACCACTCAAAGCTTGTGATCATTATGTGAGCTCTCATTTCACCATGCTAGATCGGTACAGCACCAGCATCACTGCAGACGCAGCATCAATCTGCCTATCGATCTTGCTCTCCATCTTTCCCTCACTCGTTAACAAGACCCTGAGATTCTTAACTCCTCCACTTGAGACAGGACCTCATACCTAACCTGGAGAGGACATTCTACCTTTTTCCGACTTAAGACCATAGTCTCGTATTTAGAGGAGCTGGGGTGAGAGGGGCTTCTCACACTGCTGCGAACTGCTCCAGCAAAAGCCAGAGATCCCTTTCTGATGAAGCCAATGGACCACATCATCTGAAAAAAGCAAAGACCTGAACTTCTTTCAACCAAAACGGATTCCCTCAAAATGTTGGCCCAGACACCCTTCCTAGAAACAGAATCGGCAACAAAGGGCAGCCTTGGTGGTTTACAACTCTCATCGGGATGAGCCCGACTTACTAGGATATATATATATATATACATATATACATATATATATATATAAACATTTAGACTAATGCAAATAAATCTAAATTTTAATGGAATGATAATAGAAGGTTAAAAACAGATAAAATAGATGGCAGATGGGCAGTATGCACTGTCAAGACAGTTTGCTACTACATGAAAGAAAATCATAGGAGAGCCCTTCTAGCCAATCAGAGGCGAGAAAGGCGGGAGCTTCTTTGAACTTCCTACGATTTGAAATTACGCTTCTGGCGACCCATGGCCCGGAAGTGGATGCTTGTAATTGTGCAAGTACAAAAATCCTCTTTTTTCACCTGACAGATTTGTGAGTACTAAAAATTATTGCTTTTACAATCCAACATTGATTATATCTATTTAAAGAGAGCACAGGGTTCCTTTATAAGGTCAAAAGCTAAATGGATGGAGGATGGAGAAAAAAAATTCTGCATATTTCAGTAGATTGGAGAAAAAAAGACAAGAAAGCAAAGCTATAACAAGTCTGCTAATTAATGGTAAAGAATGCAGGGATAGTAAAGTGATTGAGAAAGAAGTTCACTCGTTCTATAGCACTTTATATTCCTCGGCATACTCTCAAACTGATTCATTGAAATATTTAAGCCAAATTACCAACTTTAAACCTTGTATTAATGAATCTTTCAAAACTGTGTGATGCAGAATTAATAATAGAAGAATTAGATGTGGTCCTTTTGAAACTTCCTCTGAATAAATCCCCTGGCTCAGATGGGCTCACTGCAAATTTTTATTGCTTCTTTTGGAAAGACATCAGAATCTTATTGTTTAAAGCTATTCAAGAATGCATTTGTAAACAGGAATTAATGCCTAGTATGAAACAAGGTGTAATAACGCTAATTCCCAAACACAATAAAGATAAAAGACTTCTAGACAATTTAAGACCGACTACCCTTCTCAATACTGACTATAAATTACTTTCAGGTTGTATAGCAACTAGACTCAAACATGGTATATATCAACTTATTGATGTAACTCAATCTGTTTTTTTAAGGGGTAGATCTATTCACAACAACATTCGTCTGGTTTTGGATCTGATAGATTATTTGCATATATTGCTTGAAGAAGGATTCATTCTCTTCCTTGACTTCTTCAAGGCGTTTGATTCAGTAGAGCATTCCTTCAATATTGAGTACTTTAAATTATTTTGGTTTTGGTCAGAAATGTATTAAGTTAGTTAATATGCTATATAAGGATATAAACAGTTGTGTGTCTTTGGAACATGGTACCTGCCCTAGATTCCCTGTTTGCAGAGGCATTACACAAGGTTGCAGTAGCTCCCCTCTTCTATTTATTTTAGTAGCGGAATTATTAGCAAATTAGGATTAAAAACTGTGATATTGAAGGTTTAAATATTATGCATAAAAAGCTAGTTATAAGTCAGTTTGCTGACGGCATGTGTTTATTCTTGCGGAATGAAAGACAAATTCCAAAAGTTGTACATTATTTAGAAACATTTGCCAAAGCATCTGCATGGTCTTAAAATAAATTTTAACAAGTTCAAATGATTTACTCTCCATGATCAAACACCTCCCTCTATATGTAATGTTGCAGTAAAAAGTCAGGTGAAATATTTTGGCTTAGTGATAACAAAGAAATAAGAGAAAAACAAAATATTTGCAAGAATGCGGAAAAATGTAAAAATATATTGAATTCCTGGCTTCAGAGAGACGTTACCATCTTTGGGAGGGTGCTACTTTCTAAAATGGAAAGTTTATCAAGATCCATTTATCCTGCCTTTTCTCTTGATAGCTCTGATAAAATGGTCAATCTTATTAATAGTTTAAATTTCAAATTTATGTGGAAAAACAAATGCCAATATATTAGAAGAGTTGATATGGTTAAGAGTGTTTAAGAAGGTGGATTAAATGCCATTGACTTCTCTGCTATGAATGGTGCTTTAAAACTTATATGGCTAAGCTCTTTTATACTTCAGACTCTTTTTGGTTTACAGTTCCAAATGCAATTTTTCAAAAACTGGGCGGTATTGAAATACTATTAAGCAGTGATTATGATATTTCCAAATTGCCCGTGAAACTTTCTAACTATCACCAGCAAGTTCTTCGTTATTGGAAGCTAATCTATCACCACAACTTCACTCCCCAAAATTCTCCTCTGTGGAATAATAGATACGTTTTGTCCCATAGAAAGTCCTTATTCTTACAATCTTGGTTTAATAAAGGAATTTGGTCGGTTTCACAACTTTTAGATGAGGAAGGGAACTTTTAAACTCATGAAAAGCTCTGTCGTAAGTTTAACTTACAATGTTCAAACAAACAATATGATGCAGTTTTAAAAGCCATCCCTCCTCCCTTCCAAGCCCTGATGCGACAATTGATGCTGCATTCTAGTGTATTCCAAATAAGACCTCTTAGTGTAGAAGGTATCAGTTTGGGGATCAAGCCTTTCTCTAACAAATTTCTAAGAACTCTTTTAACAAATATTTTATATCCTTGTTAATTAAAGAGGAAATATGTATTAAAGGAATTTTCAGTTATAGAGGCTAGATTAATAAGAAAACGGTACTTATCCTATTTCACACAAAGAAGTCACATTTAAAGTTCTAAATGACATTTACCCATCCAACAATTTTTTGTTTAAATGCTTTAATTGGGACAATAACTCATTCATATCTCGAGAGAGACATTGAAACGGCTTAACACATTTTTTAAATTGTGATTTTGCCATTGATTTCTGGTTGTCCTTTCGCAGCTGGATGTTAGCCAAACAAATTCCTTTACAGCATTTGAAATGGACTTGTATTAAAGTTGGTGTACAGCTGAAGGATAAAAACCTGGACTTTTTGGTCAACAACCTGATCACTCTTGGCAAACACTACATCCACAGATGCAAATTTCTCAAAATGAAACCCCACATCAACGGTTGGAAAAATGACTTGAACTGTTATGAAAAAAATCTCCATTTTTGATGAACAATAACAATGCCCTGAAATTACATTCTCTATTTGAACTTCATGGAATCCTTGATTAAGTCCCTCACTTTACTTAATCTTTCCTTTTTCTTTTTTAATGTTTTAATTTTTGTTAATTTTTGTTTTCACTGCCTTTCTACCCCTTGAAGATGAATCTGTAATTCATGCCGTAAATGTTTGTATTGTTTACTTTTGACTAAAAAAAAAAAAAAAAGATTCGTGAGTACATGGTGCATTTGAATGTTGGATGAAAGCTGGGAAATCTCAATTTTCTATGGAGTTAGGTTGGGGACTTGTGTTGATGTTTTTCTGTGGAAAAATAGAGTATGCCAGCATCATGTAGTTACAAAAGATCAACCTAAATTTAATTTTTAACATTCTAAAGTTGTTTATATGAGTTAATTAGCCATGAAAACACAAGAGATGACCACTAGATGGCGGAGTGGTTCTCTGAATAGGAAAAGCAGGACTTCAAACTGGAGACGCAAGAAGATAATGGTAAGGCGGCTCTGGTGGTCTTTCCTGTGACCTACTGTAAGTAAAAGTTAGACCTGCACGCTTTGCTGTCTGTTTATAACGAGGCCGCTATAATTATAGACAATTTCAGACGATTATAAACTGTCCAAGTGCCTGTGTTAGCAGGCGCTAATGTCTGTGAGCTAAGCTACTTTAGCCATTTCAAGAACATAGTTTTTTGGTGTGTGTGTGTGTGTGTGTGTGTGTGTGTGTGTGTGTGTGTGTGTGTGTGTGTGTCGTTATCTCAGCAGCAGAACCTTCAGCACCTCGTGGTCCCTGAAATTCTGGTTTCAGTGTTAAAAATTAGTTTTACTCTAAAACAAACACAAGTTGCAGGGGCGGTTCTAGCATCAGAGGTGTAGGGGTGCTTCAGCAGCCCCCAAAAACAGGCTAGAAATACCCATGCCTCAATAACAAATAAAGCAACACAAACGATCTTAGTTACAAACAAACAGACATGTTAATGATCAGATCAGAGCTTTAGACTATCTAGTCCTGGTAACTAGATCTGTTTACACACAGGACCAATATTAAAGTTGCTTTATTCAGGTTGTTTTGTGTGTTTAAATCCACAGATTGATATCAGAGATGATGATGAGGAAACATGAATAAAGTCAGGAGGGTTCTGGTTTACGTCTGGAGAGACCAAGCAGCACCACAGCAGGCTCCGTTCCTGCAGGTCAGTCCCAAGTAACACACCTGGTTTCTCATCCTTTCTCGATTGCATCGACACACAGACTCACTCTGTCTCTGGTAAAAATGCATCTGGATGCTTTCATTCTTGATCAACCTGCGCTAACTGGGCAAGACAAGAAGCTAAACAGCTGTCAGACAAAAGAAAAGATTTGCTAAGAAAACATTTTAAATTCGGTCACATTAATATTTTTTTACTTGTACTATTTGTAAAATAATAACACAATAAAACTTTGTGGTTGTCACTTTGCAGATACACAACTCCTCTACATACTGTCTCATCATAATGTGTGAGCACATGTAGTCCTGAATCAGAAACACACACTTGTAAAGGACACTAACAGGGATTCGTTAAAGATGTTTGATTGGTTCTGTCTGATGTGTGCTTCCTCCTGTTGGTGTGTCAGAGTGTAACCGGCTTCTTCACCGATGGCGGGGATGATGAGGTCGAGGTGAACTGCTTGCTTGAGAAAAACCAGTTCATACTTTCTGAAGGAGACAGAGGGCACCGGATCCGTCTGAAGGTCTGAGGATCACATTAATCTTCTTGTTGATGTTTCAGACTGTAGCAGTCTAGTTTTTCCCCATCAGAGACCCTCCTTTTGCCCCATCAAACACCTGTCAGCCTCAGAGTCCGCTGTCATCCCATTGGACGTCGAGCAGCGTGGAGTAGATGTGGGCGTGGCCGTGCTACTCCAGACCGTCAACCAGAGAGTGCTGCTGACACAACGAGCCAAGCATCTCCGGATCTTTCCCAACGTCTGGGTTCCTCCGGGTCCGACACACAGATTCCCGCTGGTTTAACACAAAACATCCTCAGACCCTCAGACTGATGCTTGTGTTTTGTTTTAGGGGGTCATCTTGAGCCTGATGAAACCGTGAGTTATCTTCTGTTTCTGAACTACAGATGGTGGAAACACCTCCTAAAATACACCAGAATTCTGAAACGAATCGTTGTGTTTGCAGCTGCTGGCAGCTGGACTCCGGGAGCTAAAGGAGGAAACTGGACTCAAACTAAAACCAAAGGAATTGTCTCCAAAAATACTGGGACTGTGGGAGGTGAGACGAAGTCGAACTGCACTTTCTAGAAGGTTCCCTAAAGCAAAAAAAAACATAACAATAAAGAGTCTGAATCTGTAATTTTCCTGAATATTTGATGTGAAAAAAGATTATTGCTTCAAGACCCAGCTGGGTCACTTTGGGCTTCGTGTACAAATGAGTGAAGTTCATGTGATTGGTAATCAGTCCAAATGGTTTTAACCCTTTCTGCTAGTCGGTGTTTCCTGCCATGCTGTCCAGAGGACTTCCTCAGAGACATCACATCGTGGTTTACATGCTGCTGCTCTCTCCCCTCTCACACCTGCACCTCCAGGTAAGAGCCGTCTTTAGATCACAGAACTGCTCGTTGGATGTGAAGGACATATTCAGGACGTGGCTGTAGAGGACCTCGGTTGTCTGTGTCTGCAGGTGTCTCTGAAACCTTCCCCTGCTGAGGTGGCTTCCTGTGTGTGGGTCGACAGCCATCTGGCCAAAGCCATCGTGTCCTCTGTGGACGGAGAGGAGGGTGCGGCTAGTGTGGACGGCCTGCCGAGCAGCATCAGGTGTTGTGGCTCAGTCACTGATATAAACATTTTACAACATTTTCTCTTTGCCGAGAGTGTTCAGCGTTCGTCTCCTGAGCGCTGTGATTGTGTTTTCAGTGTGTCGCACGTTTCTGAAGACGGAGGTCTGACCGACTCTTTGCTGCCACTGGAGATCTTCACCAATCGAGTGCCGTTCAGCGGCCTGGATGTGGAGCGGGTCAGCACCGGGACCAAGTATGCACTGGACCTGTGGCTGAAGAGTCTGGATACTTGCAGTGACCCCTGACCCCACCCACACCTTCAGGCACCAGGATGCAGAAATGATGCAGCTTTAATTAGACGATATTTAAATCCTGTTTAAATTGTTTGTTGACATCATCTGAAGCTTCAGTTGTTTTCCTGAAATGTCGCATAAGGTTAAAGTTACATGATGTATAGAAGAAATTAAAATATATTATAAACATGTTTTACAACCATTGTTGTGTGCTTCATCGTTATTATTGTTAAATATATTCGCTCTAATATAATAATCCTGATAGAAAGTTTAATGGTGGAGTTCAAACCGGGGTGGGCAACATAAACAATATAAGGTAGAAAACGATATAAAATTGGGTAATGATAAGAGTTTTTGGCTATATTGCAATACCGGGATATCGTGAAAACACGAGGTCACTAAGATGTGCACCCTGCTGACGTTGGGACAACAGAATGGCAATGACTGCAAGCATGGAGTGGGTGGAGGAGGATGCCTATATGCCTCAAGTGGCATATATTTGCCACGAGGATATTTAAAAGCATGTCATTTTGACATATATTAACAGAGGAATAAATATATCGTTACCACACATGCTTCAGATTATATCGCAATATAGATTTGAGGCCATATCGTCCAGCCCTAGTTCAAACAACGGTCACCAAAGACTACCTTTATAAAATTTGGTGAAACAGTGCCACCCCACCTGGCCAAAAGTGGTATTACACATTGCTAGTGTCTGTTACACCGTTAACAATAACCCCCATCAGCTTTATAGTTCAGTTTTTGCTTTTAACTCAGCTTCAAGTTTCAGTGTAGACGCGCATTAAAAGAAAAGCACTCATCTTCTAATGCTCGACTCCTACGCATACTCATACTGATGTCAAAATCTAAGGAAATCCAAAGTGTCCAAAATGAAAGCTAACTCTAAAACAATGAAATATGTATGTTTATAAATACTAGACAATTAGGTCATCTGATAATGAAATTGTAAAATGAACAGAATTTTATGTAAAAATCTAAGCTCAGTATAATGACATGTTTTTCATTCTTCTATTGAAATGTTCTTATCAATAAAATAACTGTTAGAGAGAAAATGTCCCCAAAAATGCAAATTATTGGGGAAATTTTATTAAATTCTTTCCATTGTTATCATACGTCCTTTTCACAAAGTCAGCTTTGATTCCATAAAAGAATTTTCAGATGGCTGAATTTATTTCACAGAGACACATTTTAACATTTCTTGATCCCTCTATCCAACAGTGGGTGTGACCTGCAAAACCTCTGGCTTACCTCTTCAAGTTTTACAATAATGAACACATTTAAAATTTTGAGCCTAGATTTTTACATAATATTCTGTAATTTCACAAATCTATTTATGTAGATACACATTTCATAATGTATTATTTAATTAAAACACTTTGGAAGTCCCTACTCATGAAGGTCCTAAATGCTATTTGTGTTCAGACGTGAGTTTCGGGGATTCTGTTGCTGTCAGACTCATGCCATAAACCTTGGACACCCTACAGCATTCCTTTTTCCTTCAATTAGAATTTAAAATAATAGAAAAAATGTGTTTTGATTTTTAGTGATACAAAAATGTTTCAGTGTTGATATAAAATTGTGTGACCACTTTATGCACGCTCAGCATTGTTTCTGTTTCACCCTCAACTGCAGTAATCTGGCTCTACACTTTCAGTCAGCGAATTAAATCCCAGGAGTGATTTTAGCTTGGACCAGAATTGTGCTGCTGAGTCACTGCTGTCTCCTCTGGGTGAGGAAAGAGGTTTTAATGTCTCTCTAACATGGTTTTAGACTGGTTTCTGTATTGTCACAGTTTATGACCCCTGGCAACAGCTGACATTGTTTGAGAGTCCCTGTGTCAGTACAGAAGGTTTTACTGGAATGAAATCCATTTGACCCACATCATTGTTGGAACAAAATGTTCAAACAATTGCCCAGAATAACCGTTCACAATAGCTGCCGGCAAGGAGGCACCAGATCTGAGGGTGGTGCACTGTTCAGTACACGGAAAACACAAGACTGGTTTTAAATTCCTAAATTAACTGGGTATTTGAGACATTATGAGATATTTTGTGCTGAAGCTTTCAATTATTAAGACCAAAAACATAAAGCAGCATCTGACACCAGATAAATCTGCACTTACTTAACAGGACCTCTCTATCTTAGGGCCTCAGGACCCACAGTGGGGTCACGACCCCACTTTAGGATTGACAGATCTAGACAACTGTTGGTCTGTTTCATTAACAACCCCAGGAAAACCACCCGTGAACTATTCATGATACCTGTTGTAGACAGGTGTAGCCTTGGGTCACGTAGTGTCTGTAGTTGTGGTGCTTGTCAAGTCACCTGTTGGCACACCTGGTGGAAGTTTTTTTTCAGTGAGCAGGTAATAGGTGATGTCAACCTTTAGCTGACTGCTTGAACTTGGAACCCCTTTTTTCTTTATGAATGATACGTTCTTAAAGGTGTTGAACACTTGTTTAATCATTACATGGGCAAACTAGTACCCCCCCATCTTGGTGTCTGTATGTTGGGGTTTACCCCGGTGAACGAGAGGGTGGCCTCCCTCTGCCTACGTGTGAGTGGATAGGTCCTGACAGTTGTCTGTGCTTATGCACCAAATTGCAGGTCAGACTACCCACTTTTTTGAGTCCTTGGAGAGGGTACTGGAAGGTGCTCCTTCTGGTAACTCCCTCGTTCTCCTGGGGGACTTTGATACTTACGTGGGCAACAACAGTGAGACCTTGAGCAGTGTGGTTGAGAGGAACGACCCCCTCATCTGAATCCGAGCGGTGTTTTGTTGTTGGACTTCTGTGCTTGTCATGGATTGCCCATAATGAACACCATTTTGAGGCATAAAGGTGTCCATATGTCTTCTTGGCACCAGGATATCTTGGGCCGCAGCTCAATGATCGACTTTGTTGTCGTCTCATCTGATCTGCGGCTGCATGTCTTGGACACTTGAGCGAAGACAGGGGCAGAACTGTCAACCAATCACTACCTGGTGGTGAGTTGGCTTTGATGGTGGGGGAGCATGCCAGTCCAACCTGGCAGGCCCAAATGTATTTTGAGGGTCTGCTGGGAAGATCTGGCGGGGTCTCCTGTAAGGGGCTTCAATTCCTACCTCAGACAGAACTTCCAAAACGATTTGGGGGAGGTGAGGTAAACTGAGTTGAAGTGGGCCATGTTCCGTGCCTCTATTGTCGATGCGGCCTACTGGAGCTGCAGCTGCAGGGTCATTGGTGCCTGTTGTTGATGCTGTCAAGCTGAATAGAGTCAATCAGCGGAAATCAGTGCACTACCAATGCTGTTAATAGTGAGGACAGTATGCTGCTCACCTCTACTTGGTACGTTGTGGATCGGATGCTTGGAAGACTTCCTGTGGTTTTTGTCCTGTCTGTTTAACACTGGAAGAGCTCTATACCCTTAGGGGGGTCCTGGAGGGTGTGTGGGAATTCGCCCAACCAGTCTACATGTGTTTTGTGTATTTGGAGAAGGCGCTCGACCGCGTCCCTCAGGGGGCCCTGTGGGGGGTACTTTGGGAGTATAGGGTACCAGTTCCTCCGTTAGGTCCCTGTAAGACCTGTGTTAGAGATTGGTCCCCGTTGCCGGTAGTAAGTCGGGCTCGTTTCTGGTGAGAGTTGGACTCCACTAAGGCTGCCCTTTTTCACCGATTCTGTTCATAACCTTTATGGACAGGATTTCTAGGCTGAGGGGATCCATTTCAGTGGTCTGAGGATCAGGTCTCTGCTTTTTGCAGATGATGTGGTCCTGTTGGCTTCATCAGAATATGATCTACAGCTTTCGCTGGAGCGGTTTGCAGCCGAGTGTGAAGCAGCTGTGATGAGAATCAGCTCCTCTAAATGTGAGACCATGGTCCTTAATCAGAAAAGGGTAGAATGCCTTCTCCAGTTAAGAGTAGGGTTGTCACGATACTAAAATTTCAAACTCGATTCGATACTGGGGAAAAAAACTCGATACTCGATTTCGATACTATTTAAAAATACCAATTTATTGAACAAGTTTATTCAAAAAATAACATTCCTCAATTTATATTGCAAAAATTAAATGTTAAGAATTAAGTGTATAAAGTGCTTAAACCTTTCAAGTATCAGCATTTTTTAAAAGGTGCATACAAAAACTGGTGAAAGTTAACACTTTAAATCATGAATTGTCTCACTATATATACACTATTTGCAGAGTGATGTTTTGCTGCTTAAACTCTGTTTAAGTTGCATTTTTGTCATAAGATGTAATGCCATATGTTTTGTTCTGTACTTTTGAACAACTCTGTTGGTCAATAAAGGGAGAAAACGAATTTCTCCACAGTAGGACAAAGGTACATCTAATCTTAATAAAAACAGACTGGCGCACGGCAGTGACGTCATTAAAAGCGGCGGTTAATTAGCCTGTCACGGTCTGTTGCTTTCCCCGACTCATCAGCCTTGTATCCAAAGTGTTTCCACACTGCACTTTTGCTTTTTTTGTTGTCAATTAAGTTGGGCTGTGAAGCGCCTCCCATATTTGCTGTTGCCATTGTTAACAAAACTTGGATCGGAGACAACTCGCGTGGGAAATTGCAATGTAGCCATGCGGCGTCTTCTTCTTCTGTTTGTCTGGGAGACGGAGGCTGCTTTACGGCATCTGGCTGTCGTGCGTGTCGGTGTACTTGAAGAAGGCTGTGTATATGTGAGACTCCATAATATCGATACCACAGGGATGCAATATCTAATTTAGATACCACTTTTAGTATCGATTTATATCTAGGTATTGATTTTTTTGACAACAATTTTTTTGAGTGGAGGAGTTTAAGTATCTCAGGGTCTTGTTCATTAGTGAGGGAAAGATGGAACAGCAGATTGATAGGCAGATTATTGCTGCTTCTGCAGTGATGCGGGTGTTGTACCAATCTGTCGTGGTGAAGAGAGAGCTGAGCCAGAAGGCAAAGCTCTTGATTTGCCGGTGGATCTACGTTCCTACCCTCACCTATGGTCATGGGCTTTGGGTAGTGACTGAAAGAACGAGATCATGGATACAAGTGGCCAAAATTAGTTTTCTCCACAGGGTGTCTGGGCTCTCCCTTAGAGATAGGGTGAGACGCTCGGGCATCTGGGAGGGGCTCGGAGTAGATCTGCTGCTCTTCTACACCGAGAGGAGTCAGTTGAGGTGGGTCAGGCATCTAGTTAGGATGCCTTCTGG